CGGGTTCGATTTGGGCACACCAAGCTGGCCATAGAGACTGGGCGTGATGGTGCACACCTGTAATCGCAGCACTGGGGAAGCTGAAAAAGAAGATCACTAGGAGTCTGAGCTGCGTAGTGAAACCCGGTACCAAATACATTTAAAAAGAGTTATTACTAAAAAGTTTTCTTTCTTTCTTTCTTTCTTTCTTTCTTTCTTTCTTTCTTTCTTTCTTTTTCTCTCTTTCTTTCTCTTTCTTTCTCTTTCTCTTTCTCTATTTTTGTATTTTAGGGAGGGGTCTATATGGTGTTCAGAGTCTCACTACTAGATTGGACTCATAGTGATCCACCTGTTTACAGCCTTCCAAGAGCTGGGATTACAGGCGAGTGCCACCATGCCCAGTCTCAATTGCCATCTCAGTGCGCCCTGGGGGCGGAGGTGGGACAGCCGGCCCAGGGATCAAACCCCCAGCTCCTGCACCTGCTTGCAGGTGCTTTAATCTGCTGAACTATTTGGCTGGAAATACTACTGAAAAATATTGACTTATTCCTGTCATTGCATCGTTTTCCCATTGCTGGTTTTTCCCCCCTCCTACTTAACTGCTATTCTTCCAGATACAATCATTCCACTAGAGTTTTGGCATTATTAACTTTTTTGGTCTCTGAATATCCTTGTGAAATTTTTGGAGTTGTGGTTTGGTGGTAATGAATTTCTTGAGGAGGAAAAATGTTTTTCCTTTAGTGCTCAAAACACTTTAGCTCAGATTTTTTTTCCTTCACTATGTGCTTCAGGTTGGCCTTGAACTCACTATGTAGTCCAGGCTAGCATCAAACTTGCACCAGTCAGTCTACTGAGTGTAGTATTACAGCTGTGCGCTACCATGCCTGGCCTCCTCAGGTTCTTTTATCCTTTAAGGTTTGTTCTGAGAAGTATACCATGATCCTACAACTGTCATTAACCAATAAGAATACAAGTATAGTCACTTAAGTAACAGTAATCCAGTGGAGAAACAAGTCACATAACAAGGGTACATGGAAAGACCAAAGACTTTCTGGAAATGATGGATCCAGAGATCTTGGTCACCAGGGTGACTGATGTCTATGTATACCTCATAAAGTGTTTGTCCTTTAAGGAAGTGTTACAGGCCTGATCATCTCATCTTTATTTTGAGGGCTGGTCTCTTAACAAATGTGTCTCTGGCCGTAGTTGAGATTTTTTACTTTTGTCTTGGCTCTCTCAAGGGCCTAGCCTTAACTGACTGCCCACAATATGTCTTCCTAGCTTAGCTGTCTATATAGTATGTTGAGGTGAAGTTCTTTATTGATAATAGTTATTTGGGGTTTTATATCCCTCACTTACCTGTTTGTTCAGTTCTTTCCCCATACTTGAAAGTTTTCTGTATGATTTCTGTAAACAGGTTTTTTTTTTTTTAATGCTATATGTGGCATCTTCTGAGTTATCACTCATTCCAATTAACCTTACTATTTTTTGAGTCATCCAGCAGCTATTGGATCCATTTTTCCATGATCTCATATTTTTAAGTATAGCTAAGTAATTAGCCACATTAACCCTCTCTTCTAGGTTTTTTTTTTTTTTTCTTCCTTTCTTTCTTGGTCAAATGTCATCCTGCCTGCATCTGTGAGACTGTTTTGCAATGAATTTGCATCAGCAGGCCAAGAGGGACAACAGACTGGCTTTTCAGGTATGAGCCAGAGGAGGCTCTGCTCTTTCAGAACCAAGCAAAAACTCTTTTTTTTTCTCCATAATTTTATTTGATAAACAAATAGCAATGAGACAGTTTCAAATCAAATTCGTAGGACAGTTTCAATAATTAACACATTGCATACATTCTTCCACTAGTGGTTAATTGCTGTACAAGATGCAGACATGATATCCTATCTACAAACACCATTAGAACAAATCACTCTATTCATTAAGAGAATGTAACTATATATCTATCCTAACCACTTTGAATACACAGATACAAAATGGACATTCATCTGTATACCCTTTTTTTGTTAAGTTCTGTTATTTGAATATTATAGGTGTGTAAATTCAGGAAAATATTCCAAAAGAGTCCAGTAGCCCATGATAGTATTGGGGCTTCCGCTTGACTGGCAATGTCAGAAATTGTTGACCTGAGTCCCCCACAGCTCAACATAACACCATGACTTTACTTCTTTTGTTTCGTTTTTATACTTTTCTGCTGGGTGGTTAAGACCAAGGTAAAGCAGGACCTATGCAACAAGAGTTGTAGCTTTTGGGTCTCCTAAGGTCAGTAATAGTAGCTTCATGCTTGGAGTGCCTGTCATTCTGGTGTTCTGAATATGGGCTGCTTGTCATGACATGCCAGTTGCTGCTATGATGTCTTTCGGGTAGGTGGTTGTTCAAGAAGAAAGGGGTGGTGAATGAAAGCAAGAGACAGGAAGAGGAATATTGTGGGACTGTCCTGCTTCAAGGTTGTATATGGTGAGATTTTTGAACATATGTATAAACATAAGAAGTATATAATTCTTTATGCCTATTTTAAAAATATTTTCTAATTTTTAAATGTTTATCATATTCTGTAGGGACTTAAAGTTCAACATATCAATACTTGATGAAAAATACCTGTTCCATATTATGCCTAAGATGTTTGATATGCAGACAGACAGTGAGGTTAAGCTTAACAGCCTAAGTTGTTTGATAATAACAATAAGCTTGTCTTCTGGATGGTTAACAACCTAAGTTTGCAGACCAAAGTTAGAGAAAAAGGATGGCTGCAAGGAAAGCCAACATTTTGGCCAGCCTTCTAAGGTCAATTAAGACTCAGGACATAGGAGAACTTGTACTGTAACGTCATGTAACTCAGTAGTGTCCCAAATTTTCTGATCAAGGAAATTATGGGGCCAAAGAGGAAAGTGATCGATGATGTACTGTGTGCCTAAGGAGAGTCACATGGAGAGAAAACATTCTCTTAGGCTTTCAGAGAGAGCACAGTGACCAAGCAATAGCCGTGACTCATCCACATGGCTGAACTAACAAAGGATCTACAATCTGAGGTACAGGATCTCAGGATAAATCCTGAGGGGATTTCACTGCCCATACTTTCAATAAAATTTTTGTATGTCCTGGATTTCTGTTTGGTAGCTTTTCATGGGTCCTATAATTCTTTGCTAAACTGATCAGTCTTGTTTTGTACTGTTTTGTTTTTTAATTTGTTTGTTTGGTTTTTTTTGTTTTTGTTTTTGGATTCAAACTCATGACCTTGACCTTGCCAGGCAGGCACTTGTGCTGCTGAGCTGTGTAATCCACTGTACTGTGTTTAAGTCAGCTAGCTTTTTAGTAGTGTCTTTTTAAAAACTTCTTGACCATTATGGTTTATTAATTCCATTTTCTGTTTAGTTGCATCATATTTGAGCTCAGCAAATGCTTTACTAATCTGGTTGGAAGTTTTTTGTTTTATTTTTTGTTTGCTTTTGTTTTTATCTCATCTCGTCTCAGTTCCTGTATTGAGCTATGTGGCTTTTGCTTTCCTCCCCACCAACCACCAATAGAATTTCAGCTCTGGAGGAGTTGGGAGTTTTTTGTTTCTGTCTTTTTAAGACAGTGTTTTTAATCCAAATAATATTGGCATTTGCTTTAAAGAAATAAGGAGAAATGTGTAGGAGAAGGTGACAGTTTTGTCTTAGTGTCATTTACTGTTTTATGATTATGCCATTTACTTATTACTAAGCCAAGACATATACTGTGATTATGTTTTGTTCTTAGCAGTATTCATTGCCTCACTTTATGTAACGTATTTAGATTTTTAATATAGTTTTGTATTTTCAGGTTGCATATGTTTAATTTAAACTGCCTGATAATTCTAATTGTGTTGAAAGGTATATTATGTAAGAGCACTAATCTTTTGCTTTTCTCCTTATATACTTCCCTAGAGACAACTGTGCAGTGCTGCTCAGTACATTCTCTTTAGATTTATTTATGCATGACTATGTGCCCTTTTTCAATTATTTACTTCTTTAGTTTTAGGCATTATCTATTATTATTTCTTATTTAAAGAGATAGGAAATTCTCTTTTACCCCAACTTGCACTTTCCATCATGTTAATGTAATTGATTTGTATAATGCAGTTATTTTTTTCTCAGGCTATCATTGTTCATTAAAAAAGTGTATTGCTAGAAGCTGTTTTTGCTAACTTCCACTTTTGGTTACAGAATTTTCTGAGATCCTTTCTTATGGACTGTGTGTATTTAGTGCACAGCATTTTCAGACATTTCATATTGACTCAAACATTTTCATATTGTTACAATCCTGGTAGTTTTTTATTTCATGTATAAGAATTTGTTTTCCATTTCTCTCAATCCATGTCTACTGCCCAGAGTGGGTAGTTTATAAACAATATTCATATTTTGTTCACAGTTATGAAGCCTGAGAAGTTCAAGATCGAGCTGTGAGTAGACACATTTTCAGGAAGGGGACTGATCTCTGCTTTCAATATGATGTCTTGTTGCTGTGTCCTTATGCGGTGGCAAACAGAAACTGAAAGGATACCCAGGATTTGGAGACAGATTGATTTACCTCAGTGGGCAATGATATGGATCATTCTCAGAATATCATGCTGTCATTTCTGGTGGTCTGGGGCTTATATGGGATAAGCAAACAGAACAGAGGCAGAACAGTTTGTCAGTTGGGGATTCGTTTATATATGTGTATCATAGTGACCAGCTATACATCACAGTGACCAGCCATTTCTAAGAGAAGCAATCAGAACACTCATTCTAGAATTTCTCTTGTTCACAGTCTCAAATACCCCACCTTTATTTTATTTTTTTTTAATTTTTTTTTTTTTTTTTTTAGAGAGAGAGAGAGAGAGAGAGAGAGAGAGAGAGAGAGAGAGGTGTGTGTGTGTGTGTGTGTGTGTGTGTGTGTGGCCAGCTCAGCCCACCAGGGGGCGGGGCTGGCTGGCATGTGGTGCTGGGGGATTGAACCGTGGTCCCTGATGCCTTGCCAAGCTTGTTCTAAGTAGGTGCTTTAGACCACTGAGCCATCTCTCCAGCCCTACCCCACCTTTAATACTATCATTTTTGGATGTAAGTTCTAGCCCAGGGATTTTTTTTTTAGGGACGTATACATTTAAACATCATTTATTTCTCTATTTAAATACATATTTTTGATTTGTAAAAGCACATTCTACAAGAGTTTTCTTTTATTTCAGAGGTTATTTATGATCTGGTTTCCTTTATACCTTTCTGCAGTTATTTCTTTACTTCAGATGCTACTAATTCAGAGATTCCAGCTGTGTGATTTCCAGTTTCTTCTATGCTAGTGTCACTTGCATTTGTTCTGGGTGGGCTTGGGGCCTGAGATTGCATTTTGCTCCTTGTCTTTGTCATTTTGTATAGCACTGTCCTCTGACCTTTGGTGCAGTTATAATCTTAGCACCTACCAAAATTCTTACCCAAGAGAGATTATATGGTTAAGGCAGTTACAGTTTTGTATTTACAGAACTACAATTAGGAGCACTAATAATGGGTAGTGATATTTAGCAGTTGACAAACATTTGTAACTAATGGGTTCATATTTTAGACAGTAAAAGCAAGCATTATGTCTGTATAGCTAAGCACATATTAAATTGGGAATTTATATTTAAGTTACTTCCCCTGAGTTCTGTCTGATAACCTCCCCTTGATGTACCTGAGGTCTTCTAGGCAGACTGGTTCACCCCAGTTACCTTTGGTCCCCTTGGTCAAGAGAGAAAGAGAGGATACTCTCATAGATCTGGGTCTAGTAAGGTGTCTCAGCTTACCAGATGCGGATCTATGAAGTTCAAACTCATCCTGATGTGCCTGGCTTGGGCCTGGCTGCTGTGCTCAGCTTCTTCCTGCTGTAGCCCATGGAAGTGAACCCACTGTGCCCCTCTGGCAAGGTGTTCTGCTCCTGGATTAGCTGGGTGGTTCTGGCTCCTAGCCTCTCTGCAGGGATTTCAGCTGGAGAATTTCACACCAGGCCTGTATGCTTGGCCTGGGCTGGGTCTGGAGGGGTCCCAAGAGCATGGCAGAAGGTTTCACTCACATGCTGGGCCTGGGCTGGGTCTGGTGGGTGCAGTGGAGCCGAAGTTCTCCCCTACACACTCTGGGCCTTGGCTGGTTCTGGAGGGGTCCAGAGGAGTCCCGAGAGCACTGTGGAAGGTCTCACTCACACACCGGGCCTGGACTGGGTCTGGAGGAGTCTGGCAGATGCAGCAGAGCGGAAGATCTCCTACACACACTCTGGGTCTGGGCTGGGTCTGGAGGGTTCCTGAGAGCATGGCGGAAGATCTCACTCACAGGCCAGACTTGGGCTGGGTCTAGAGGGGTCTGGAGGGATTCTGAGAGCACTGCAGAAGGTCTCACACCTGACCTGAGCTGGGTCTGGAGGGGTCTGGTAGCCACAGCGGAACAGAAACTCCCCTACACACGCCGGGCCTGGGCTGGGTCTGGAGGGCTCCCAAGAGATTTCTGATTTTAATTAATTAATTAATTAATTAATTGTATTTAGTATAGGCTCTATAGGGTCTCACTACACAGATTGGACTCAATGAGTCTCCTGTTTTCAGCCTCCCAAGCACTGGGATTACAGGTGTGTACTATCATACCCAGTCTCAGTCTCAGTGTGCTCTGAGGGCGGAGCCAGCACAGCACGCCAGAGATTCAACCCCTGGTCCCTGCGCCAGCATAAGCAGGTGCTTTAATCCATTGAGCTATCTGGCGTGCCCCAAGATTTCTGATTTTAAAAGGTACATCAAAGTTATATTTTGAATTTCTGAAAAGTCCTTTTATCCTTCAACTTGTAGTTTGAGCAACAAGTTTTAGATTAGAAATCATTTCTGAAACATTTGAAAGTATTTCTACTAGTGTTGCTATTGAAGAGCCTCTTGTCATTTCAAGTCTGTCAGTTTCCAGTGTGAGATTTTACCCTGTCTCTACCATGTTTAGTGAACGTGGATTACAAGGCACTTCATGTTATGTTGGGATACTTCAGGTGAGCTGTAGTCACCTGCTTCAAGTGGATGACATTAAATACAGAAAGACATAACTGTTCCTTACATGGATTGTTTCACCTACTCTCCTTCCCATTTTTGCCTTTATATGTTACCTCGCTTTTTCTGACACCTGTTCTTTGAGCTTTTCTGTATACTTGAGTAACTGTTGGTATTTGGTATTTAGTTCTGCTATCTCTGGTACTCTTTCCATTTCTCAAATGTGTTAATATCTCTTGTATTATATGAAGTTCTAAAAAGGTGTGATTGAACTTTGCTAATTGTTGTTATTGATAATTGCTTCCTCGTTAGTGTTATAATTTTGGATTATGAGTTTCCTTCCAGTCATTAACTCTGGAAATCATATATATTTGGGTTAAATTCCTTAACTGATTTTTTAAAAAATTCAGTTCTTTTTTTTTTTTTTTTTTTAAATCACAGCTTTTTGTTTCAGGGATTCTGTAGACAGGAGGTAGTGTAACGTAATCCTCATACCCAGTGGGTAATCTTATGGTTAAGAATTTTTGAACAACAGTCTTTTTTATCCAGACCCAAAGCCTCTCTCTCTCTCTCTCTCTCTCTCTCTCTCTCTCTCTCTCTCTCTCTTTTTCATTTTGGATAGATTGAAGGAACTCCCTCTTCCCAGCTCCTAGTTTCCCTTTCTTTGAGAGTGTTGTTGGGTTAGGCTTTCTTATAATGGGAAAGTGTTAAGTCACCTTTTTTGGGCCTAAGGCCTACATGTTGTTACACCTGTGTGTCATAACCCCAAGTGATTGTTTATGGTAGCCCAAAGACAGTTTTACATCTAAGGAGGGGAGAGCTGTGTAGCTCAGCCACAGAAGAGCCTGACTGGCAAGCGCAAGTTCATGAGTTTGATTCCCAGTACAAAAAAATAATAATAATTGAGTTTTATATCCAAGGTATATTTTTTGCAGGCTAGAGAGTTCTCATTATTTTAGCAAAGCAGTTAAAATAATAGTTATCACATTTTATCTAGCATGCCTAGGGGCTGGGCAGATAGCTCAGTAGAATAAGCACTTGCCCGGCAAGCACAGGGTCATGAGTTCAGTCCCCCGTACTGCAAACAAACAAAAAAACTATTATACAGCATGCCTACATATTTTATTGCATGATTTTTTAGATTATCTAGTCTACCATATTGCTGGAAAACATTTATTTATTTATTTAATTTTGAAGAGTATAAAGCAAAAAACAAATAGACAAACAGTAACATACAGCAATACATACATTACAGACTTTCAAAACAAGAACAGCTAATTAACAATGGTTATGTTATCTATTTTTATCATCAGATTTATTGCTCAGATTAACAGAAATAGTTATGCAAGAATGGACAAATAATTGATTATTGTAACACCTTGCTTTCAAGAAACCGCAATTTTTTTGTTTTTCTTTACTTTTTTGGAAGTAGATATTTTAAAATAGTCTATACAAAGCAGTTGTATATTGTCAACTTAAATAATTTTCCTTTTAGATGGGAAGACCAAATATAAATAGCTTTCCCTTATTGACAAGGACAAAATAATTATTTGAGGCAAAGTATTGCATAGTGGTTCTAAGCATCTCTGGAGTCACATAACCTGGGGTGGCGTAAGCTCTGCCACTTATTGCCTGTATGATCTCTAAAAGTCTATGCAATATTCATATCTCTCACATTCCTCATTTTTAAAGTTTCAATAATACTTTCCTTTTAGGGTTTTAATTAAACAAGACATATACATATATATATATATATATATATATATATATATATGTAACAAGTGTCTGGCTATAGAATGTGTTTGGTATTAGTTGTTGTATTAGTATAAGTTCTTTGATATTAGTTGTTACAGCTATTGGCAACAAAAATAGTAACTAGTATTAGTAAATACCTAGGTTTTAGTTATGTAGTACTCATATTTAGTATTAGACACTAGTTACTGTTGTTGCTATTAGTATTATGAATTTCATTAACCAGAACTCTTGATGCTTGAGACTCTTTTTCATTGAGGGAAATGTTTTCCCCTTACTAATAATGCAAACAAAATATTTTAGTTTTCAACTATAGAATCCATAATTAGGACCCCCATATTTTGGGGTCCTAAATTTTTTGGTTTCTACTCTTCCTATTTTATAAATGAGTTCAAACCAGTATAAGAAATCTCTTGCTACTTCCTTAAGCTGTTACTCAATTGTTATTTATCAGCAAGTAACTTTTTCATATAAAAGAATAACTTTATGTTTTTGTTATTTGTGTTGTCTGTTATCCATCAGCCTCCATGAAGATGTTTTCCTGTGAAATATATTTCATTTGAAAAGGTTGGCAGTCTGATAAGGGTCTAAAAGATTTGTTATTCATAATATGCCTTCAGGCTAAATATGATATAGGGAATGTTTTGCTGTTGGTGGTGATGGGGGTATCAGTACTGGAGATTGCACCCAGGCCCTTCTTACTAAGCTTACCCAGCCTTTTCTGAAAAAGAAAATAATTTCTTTTTTAATTTTGAGATAGTCTTACTGGGTCACTTAGATGTCCGGGTCACTCCTGCGTCATCCTTCTAGAGGGTTGTAACTTTTTGTCTTACTGACCTGCCTATTACATAATAGTATTTTTTTCTTACATAGAAAATAGTCCATCTAGGGCTGGCCAAATAGCTCAATGGATTAAAGGGCCTGCTTAGGCAGAGCACAGCAGCCAGGGTTCAAGTCCTGGCATGCCATGCTGGCCCCACCCCCGGGGCACACTGAGATGATGATTGAGACCAGGCATGGTGGCGTGGGCCTGTAATCCCAGCACTTGTGAGGCTGAAAACAGAGAATCACTACGAGTCGGAGCCATGTAGTAAGACCTTGTAGACCCTGTAGACCCTGTGACCCTGTACTAAAACACACACACACACACACACACACACACACACACACACAAAGCCCTTTTGTTAATCTTTAGAAGAGTGGAAATATGGAATCTTAGAGTTATAAGAAACCTTGATATCATGTATTCGTTCTGCTTTCAGACATTTAAAAATCCTTCT